TTTTTTTTCTTTTTTTTTTTTTTTTTTTTTTTTTAACATTTTTTGTTACATTTAAATGTTGAACAATAACTCGTGAAATAAAATTTATTCCTAGTCGGTTGCTTTTTAGCTGTTGATCGCATGAGTTCGATCAGACTTTATCAAGTCATGAGTAAGCAATATCGATCCGCGAAAAGTAGAGCTGGTCGTAAAGCTGTGATTTCCCATCTTTCCTGGCAAAGTTCGCTGACAAGAACATTTGCTGCAMTTGGATCTCATATCCTCCAAAGGACTAGTGGATGGTGCCGTGAAGACTTCTGGGTACTATTGCGCAGTTTCTGCATTTTCTGACAAGAAAAATAAACAGCCACCCCAGTAAATGATTTGATAACAAAGGATGATAAAAAGTTAAGAAAATTAATTGGTGATTCTGACTGAGAACATTGGGATATTTGATCTTGTTGCGTCATGGCGCAAGATCGAATTCACAAGTAGAGTGACATGCATAACGCATAATTGTTTATTTTATTGGCTAAAAAAGGGCAGAGACTGCAATTATTCAAAAGTTATGTAGAGAATACCTTAAGGGAGAAGATCGTCTTAGACGAGTTAAACGAAATCATTCTTTTCTGTGATACATCCCATTATCTTTTGGCTAACATTGCAACCTTCTTCAGCTGTACTAAGCCTCTGTGCATGATACAAAAGGGGCGGATCCAAGATTTTGTTCAGGGAGGGGTGCTGCGCACAAAGTTAACCCAGGGAGGGGTGTACCCTTAGAATCAAAGGGAAAAAACAGTATTGGTTATCTTCGAAGTAGGGGCACAAAGTGGAACCAGGGAGGGGTGCACCTTTAAATCAAAAGGGGAAAAAATAGTATTGGTTATCTTCGAAGTAAGGGCACAAAGTGGAACCAGGGAGGGGTGCACCCTTAGAATCAAAAGGGGAAAAAACAGTATTGGTTATCTTCGAAGTAGGGGCACAAAATGGAACCAGGGAGGGGTGCACCATTAGAATCAAAGGGGAAAAAACAGTATTGGTTATCTTCGAAGTAAGGGCACAAAGTGGAACCAGGGAGGGGTGCGCACCCTCTGCACCCCTCCCCTGGATCCGCCCCTGTACAAGCAACCAAGTAAACGCCTATAGAGCGTCTTGTTTCTTATTAATGTACCTTTAGAGACATTTCAATTTTCAGCAACCGGTGTCTGTTCAATGCGGTGTATCAAAACCCATGCTTGTACGACGTAGCAACAGTAGCTAGAGCGGTAGAACAATGAATGCGAGATCGGTGTATTTATTTGGCTTTATCTCCTAATATCAGCGGAAACCACAGTCTATTGTTGTTTAATCGTATCTATAACCCTTGGAGATTTACTGTATGTAGTGTTGGTGTATTTACCCACCCCACCCCTGTTAGGTTTGCAAGCGTGCGAGTGCGCATGTGTGTAATAAAGAGACGAGCATCAAAGCACATGGTTTAGTGTAGTTGATTATTATTTAGAAAATACACCACACTGTAGATTCACTAGGTTTTACCCGGGCCAATAGTTGGGGACACACTTCCGTCTTCTTCTTTGGGTTCCCTGTGGAATCATTGTAAGATCCCTTCCCAGTCTTTCTCTAGCAGTTGAATGGTTTCCAAGATGGCGGTGACTCTCCCAAAGACTTCGAATGTTTGTGAAGCGAAAAACAAAAGAAATCATCCCATTTAAAGTAGGTGAGTCTCGACCGATTGTCATATTCATTGTGGGATTTTTTTCTGGAAGTCTTAAGGGCTTGAGATCAATATTAAGTAAAATGAGAGGTATATCTAGGCCAAACATTAAATCATGAATTATCTATTGACAGTTTCTTCAGATATTTTATCCCGGGCTTTTCTTCTCAAATATTGAAAATTTTTGGCCATAAATAAGTTAATACACATTCTTCAAACGTAAGTGTTCGTCTGGTTCTTTTACCTTCTTACTAAAGATGCTTGTTTAGAGCATTTTTCTGTCGCGAATTTCTCTTTAATGAATGAATAATAATCAGATCATTGTCTTACAACAGTCTTAYGTGACTAAACTATATAACGTATATATAACAGAATTGGCAGAAATTGTATGACGTTCTCTTAACTGTAACTAAACTCATTTTCTCTCAATCATAAGGAACATTAATAGTACCAATGCAAATACACAGATTGTCGAATTTTCCCTTTGTTTGATAGKCTTGAGATTCCTTATTTAGAATTCTTAAAACAAACAAAAACCTRGCTTCAGTACGTGATATAATCTTCTTGTAAATACACGTCCATACAACTTATTTTCCTTACATATCATTCTTTCATTTGATAGTAAAATATATAAATATTAATATATACAT